ATGATATTATATATAATAACCTCTGCAAAATACAAAATTTCTTTTATTTACCTTAATCCAAATGTATAACGTATATAGGCGCCCGGAGGACAATTGTCATCCCCCCACACTTTACACGAACGACTCACTCGGGTGACTTAAAATTAATTCTTAAATGTTTACGGAAGGATATCAAAATTGGGGTTTTTGTACCGCCCTTAAATCATGCGCAGTAATTAAACAAATCTATGTGGATAACGAAGGGTTAATATAAACACTGGCACACATTTAGCATATTTTAACCCACCAGACTTTTTTTGTGATTCACTAGACTCAAACTGGTTAAATTCTGCCCAATTTTATGCGTCAAAACTGGTCCTCTCCTCCAAAGCATCAATTCTGTTTGACAATGTTTTGATGCTTTGAAGAATTTCCCTAAGAGAATTGCAAATAGCATTGTAGAGTAAATATTTGTCCTACAAGGAATTTATTTAAGATATTACTCCAGCACAGTCGAAAAATTGATAAAATCTTAATATAAGAAACACATGTATTCTATTGAATCTATTTGACATGAAGATACGGACTTCCATTTTTGTGCTGGCAGAGTATGGTTGCTCTATGAAAGTGTAGTGAAAAATAAGTGACATCTAGATCTCGGAGGGTCAAAATGGGGGTCCCGGTATAGAAATATACCTGCATTTTTGGACAATATCACAAGCTTTGACCTCCTAGCGGCATATTTTGTGATTTGTACAACGGATGGAGGGGATGTTTCAGGATTGAAGTTTCCACATTGTCGAATGGTGGATGTAGCTTGCTGAAACCGTGATACGTTAAAACTTGTATTTGGTCAGTAAGAGTCCATCAGGACTCAGGACCAGTTCCCCACAGAGAGAACTGTAACAGTTGTTTCGGTATTTGTAACGTTAGTTATATGGCGCGAGCTTACCTTAACGATTTTCTTATAAAATCTCGGGCGCCAGCTTCGTTATTTAACGTGGAGAAGCACCATATATTTGGGTATGCCTTTGGAAAGTGGAAAAAGTTTATTCCAGGGGTCAGTTAGCTCATATTAAATTAAAAGACAGCGGGTTAATTTAATACATATATTAAAGTAAAAATAAACTCTTTATATGCAAACAATTATCAATAATAAACTGTAGAACACTTGGTAAATAATATAAAATATTGAATTAATAAAGTTAAAAAGCTGAAATAGTTTTAAAGCAAAATAAATGTGAATAACAAAAGTAAATGAATAAAAAAACGGTCAACAGTCAATGAATGAAATATAGAAAGGCAAGTGAAATACGGAATTTAAGGATTTATTTTGTGGATTTGTTAGCAAGCAGTTTTCATACGCCGGAAGCGCGACGGCAAATGCCGGGATTCACCCGGCATAATTATAAGAAGTATAATGCATAGACTTACGGTTATATTTATGTCAAAGCGGAGCGGAATGAAAATGATAAAAATAAGGACGTTTAATTGCTCGGTTTTGCCTTTGTATTATTAATTTAAAACTGAAAAGTAGGTAACCACTAAAATGTTTGTATTAAGAAATATAATTTAAATATCATCTTAGATGTCATATAACACCTTTATACACTAATGTCTTTAATTGAATCAATAAGTCAATTAATTACGCAATTTTAATAACTTACAGTAAAGAAAAAACTGATGTCCTCCGAGGAGATTGAGCTTTGAGTACCACTCTGTTATCCCCAAGATTCTGCAATGTTTTAGCTTTTTTTAATTTGTGAAGATGCATCCAGCCATATTTTGACAAGCGTCCAAACGATGTTACTTGTTTTTTTTAATATTGCCCTCTGCAGTATTTTTTACTGGCTATTTTTTTTAACAATAAAAGGAAAGGAAAGTTGCTAATTTTCCCACATTTTGTACTATAATAATTACTGCAAATTAAATATTTCATAATTTGCAGTAATTATTATAGTACAAAATGTGGGAAAATTAGCAACTCCTTAAGGAGTTTTAAATAAAAAAAAATTGATTGTAACAGGGAGAAAGTGGGAAAAAACCGTTAAAATATTTCTTGGAAATACCCGAAATTAAGAGCTTCTTAGAAAGAATTAGAAATCTTCAACATGTGCGAAATAAGTAATTTTGAAAAGGATTTCAAATGTAACGTCAAAAACAAATTTATAGGGTCGTGTCTAAAGAAAATTCAAATAGACGCCATAAAGCCATAAATCCATATTACAGGCTAACTTTATATTGCCGAAGCCGCCAAACATATGGCAGCAACACTTTCTTTAAACGAAACAGTTTTGAAGCAAATAAAAAGCGTCAGAAATATAATAAAATTAATATAATTAAAGAAAGTAACGAATTGATTCAGTTGAAAACTAAACCTAGAGAAATAGGAGATTATAGACTAGAAATAAGACGTAAGATTAGGTAGATTGTATTTTAAATATGAAAGCGTGGCAGCTTATTAAAAGATAAGTCGCGATCAGCCAATATAAATTAGTAGATGGATGAAGCTCATAAGGATGGTTTGAACTAAAGAAATGCCCAATAGAATCAAACTCAGTTAATATGATTTAATAACCAGATATAAAAACAGTCGATTCAATCATTGGGCAACCTTTGTTACTTTTAAATCATCTTAAGATTATTATCAAAGCTAGTAAATTATAGTTTATCTTGAAGTTGGCGACAATGGCGAAAACTCCGCCCAATGCCTAGTAAAATTCCCACCTTGTTTGTTCCCGACCTTTCACATAGCCAAGTTTCCGACTTAAGTCAAAGGTTAACGCCTCCTCCCTTACGAATTATTGAACCGCTTAGATTAAAACCAATAACCTTTCGTCCTTTTCGGTTGGTATGAGATTTTATGACCTTTTGAACCAGTCAATTTTCTATGACCCTTGCGGGGGGGGAGTTGCCACGATTTTGACCAATGGTCTTTAAGAATTGATCCCTACCAAGTTTTCCGTAAATTAGTCTATAAAAAACCAACACGACCTTTGAATCGTCAGTTCTTATCTAAATTTTATCGCGCTTTCCACATCGGTCGTAGATCCTCGCCAACTTCATTTGATTCAGTGTAAGGTACTTATAGTAATTATTGTATTTCAAACCAACTTGTTTATATTAGATTCACTCCGAATAGTTTTGTTTAATTATAGTTACTTACTCTTTAGAGTAACTCGCACCGCGCATTTGCTTAGTTAATTCTTTGTTACATTTTCCTTTAGTTTACTTTTAGTTAAATTTCTTAATCTAGAGTTCTAATTTGTTTTGTAAACTAGTTCTTGTAAATTAAATCTCTGGAGTAACTTTAATTATCTCTTTTTAATTTTAATGTAACTTAATTTTACTTGTTTATATCTTTTCATTTTTTATTGTTAACTCTTTGTTTGTTAATATATTTATATGGTTTGAAATATCGCTTTATTGCTCTGTCTGTGGTATAAGAAATAGCCCTGAATCAAGTTAAGTCGGTTCGCGAGTGAGTTAAGTGTGTCAGTATATAGGATTACTTCGCTTTCGACTCGTCTCACCGACATCCTCCAGCCGAAGCCACGACGATCTTCACCGAAATAAAAGGTCAGATTAGATTAGTAATTTGTAACGGGTTCCGCACACCCAAAGCTCCCGTAGGCCAACCAAAGAATAAGTAGTAAAAGTATAGCCACCACAAGCACGCGACACAAAAACCCCCGTTACATGATTCTTAAAAAAAGTACTTTTGTTTAATATTAATAAAATAAATTGTTTTTGCGAAATATAATATTGACAATTAATTTTATTGAAGTAGGTATTGTTTTCCGCGTTAGTGCTGAAAAACTTTTTACACTAGCACGGAAAAGTGAAAATATTCGTGGGGTTTGAAAAATAAATAAAAAAATAAAGTTAGGTTATAGTGATTTTCTGTATTATTGAACATTATTTTAAGAATACATTGAAGTCACTGAAAACCTAATTTAAATGTTTTTAGTTATTTCAAAGGCCTAGAATCTCTTTCAGCATTATTTGATTGATTAATCATAAAACTGTAAAAGAATGTTGTTGGGCAATGGTTATTTGACAAGTAGATTTAAATTGACGACAGTTTTATACATTACATTTTCGACGTCATTTGCGTTCTTTTAAGGCCAAACAAGTTGGCTTATGAACATTGCAGATTGCGCCTTTCCATCTAGGCATGTTGTAACATTTTTTTTCGATATCTTGAATTGGTACTGCATAATGTGTGTTAGATAAACGTCGACATAAATATACTCCACACGCATCCGAGCCATGACCAACATTGAACAGAGAAGTTGCTTGTCTAAATCTTTTAACGACAATTATGAAATCGCTATTGTACAATAATATATTTCTTATTATGCAAATTTCTGCACTTAAAAAAAATTCAACTGTCTCGCATAGATGTCGACAAGGTGCTAGTATTGAATGTAAGTATTTTGAACTGCTGACACACCTTTCCCTAAATGTTGTCGATCAGGGGCCCTTTTGCATGCAGTCGTGAAGGGGAGAAGATAACCTGATTATATTCTTTACCCGATTAAGATTAAGAAGATAACCCGATTATATTCTTTAATTCAATTTTGGTACTGTTCTAATGATTTATTTGATCCTCTTGTCGCTAATCTTCGAATTTTTGACATCACAGGAAAAATATTCGATCCACCCAAATTTTCGATGAATTTTAATCGCAAATAACTTTTTTATTTGATGTTGGATTTAAACAAATATTAAAGAATATTGTAAATAAATTAATGGAGAATCGCTCACATTTTAAAAATTTACTAAAAAATAGACGTACGTTTATAATATACAGGTTTAAACAAAAATATGTTTTTTACCATTAATTTAAGACACTCTGTAGAGTGGCAAAACCGTATATTGTTTTAAATTAGGTTTTAATTAACAAGTCCCATCTATTCTTAACAGTTTTGTTTTTGGTTCACCTGTTCGAATGAACGAGATGATCTCTTTATTCAACTTAAAATGTTTTACGTGCCGAAACTAAACTAAAAAACAGAATGAAGAACGTACAGGTCCAAGTAAGTGAGAGAACGATAAGAAGAAGGTTATCTGACTGGATTACACGCAATCGTTTTCTCGCTTACTTGGACCTGTCGTACGTCCTTCAATCCGTTTTTTACCTCCACAGAAGTTACTCTTCGGTCACGTAAAACATTAAGTCGAATAAAGCGATAATCTCGTTCATTCGTACACCTCTTCCTACCACATTGACTCCTTCTACTGTACTTGCCATGCTGATTAAACCGATTTACAGCCCTTTGTACTTTACTTATTGTGGCGTTTAAAACACTTGTCGCGTAATACTGTGCAGGTAGCCGAAGCAGGGATTTAACTGTTTTGTTGGGTGAAGATCCCATCAAAACGAAAAGCGACACTAAAAATTAATGAAGATTTAGCTAGGCGCTGGAGAGAATACTTAAAAGCTAAAAGCTGGATTAGACAAAGAAAAACGAAGTGAAATAGGAGAAAAATATACGATCCCAGAAAACTGTACCACATTAAATCGCCCCAAATTAAACAAGGAAGTAGCGGCAGCTCTAAACAAAAGTGCTACGAAACAAGAAAAATTCTTGCAGGCCCTACAAGAAAAAATTGGGCTAGGGATCGCTGCTATCGAAACAACAATAACTAGATACCTAGAAAATCTTAAAAATCCATCAGAAAACTATATAGGAGCCCTGGTGGATGCTGCAAAAATATTTTGCGATGTGCATCATTTAATATCCATGCATAGGCGCTACAACATTACACCTATACTCAAACATGAGGTCAAGAAAATGGCGCAATCCACTGAAATCGGAGAATATTTATTTGGGCCGAATATGCAGGAAAAAATAAAAGCAGCAGAAGCTTTGCAGCAAGTTGGAAGGAAAATAAAAGTTTCAACCTACAAACCCAAAACAAAAATAACGAAAAGAAAAACACAGCCACAAGAACAACCGTCGACTTCAAAAAACTTCCAGCGTTTTCTATCTACCAAATCCTCCGAACCGATACAAGGTGAAAGAAAGCGCAGCAAGGAAAGACGGAAGGCGAAAGAAATCGAAGTATCCACACAGACAACAGAGGAAGTAACCGTAAGAACTCAAGCTGGGAAACTGGCTCTTTTTCATAAAAATTGAATTGAATTGAATTATTTTAACTCGTAATAAGACACGTTTATCTTGGGTTAAAGGAGAAAAAATCCCTTTTGTGGAAATACCTCCTAATTCAGAAATAAATTATCGGTCAAGTAACGATTTTTAACTCCCATTCAGGAGCTATTACAGTTAGCAGCTATTTCAAAATCTACGCATAAAAAGGGCGAATTTATATCCCCATACTTCCTTAGGAAAAAAACCCAATGGAAAAGAGAGAATAACTAAATCTAAAAAATCTCAATAATTATATCTCGGTGCCGCATTTCAAGTTAGATGACTACAGATCCGCTGCAAAACTGTTTTTTTGCAAAAATTTACTTAAAAGATGCATATTTTTCAATTCCTATCCATAAATCTAAAATATCTTAGATTTGTTTATAACGATGCAGTGTTCGAATTTAATGTTCTACCGTTTGGTCTTAACATTTTCACCAAAATAATGAGGCCTTTCACACAAAAGCTTAGATCTCAAGGACACATGCCGCTAATTTACTTGGACGATATACTGTTATTAGGTCATAATACCAGGGAAATAGAATCAAACATATTTCACACAAGGAAATTGCTCGACTTGCTCGGGTTCACTGTTAATAAGGAAAAATGCGTCTTAAATCCAATAAATAACATAGTTAAATTTAGTTTTTAGGGTTAAAATTTAATTCAATAAACCAAACAATAAGCCTACGACAAGCTAAAATTGAAAGCATAATTTCTCACACAAAAACCATTAAAAATAAAATAATGTGCTCAATAAGAGAATTTGCTGCCTACATTGGGGCTATTTGCCCCGCCACACCATATGGGTGATTGTATACAAAAAATTTCGAGTATGAAAAGTTTATTCATCTTAAAAACAGTAATAAAAACTATGACGCAATCATGCCCATCTCGAGCTACTTAAACACAGATTTTGAATGGTGGCTTAAACATATTAATAAAGCCTTAAAAACTTTATCTCCCTTAGATTACACATTACAAATTTTCTCAGACGCTTCAACTACAGGTTGTGGTGCATATTGTAAAAATTAATCTGCTAGAGGCTTCTGGAACCATGAAGAGAAGAAATGGCATATTAATATATTGGAATTAAAAGCAGCATATTACTCATTAAAGACATTTGCAAAACATCACTCAAAGTGCAACATAATTCTACGAATAGATAATGTGACAGCAATAGCCTGTATAAATCGCATGGAAAGCGTGCAATACAGAACTCTTAACAAAATCAGTGGGGAAATATGGCAGTGGTGTGAAAAACGTAAAATACATATATTCGCTTGCTAGATAAAATCAAAACATAATGTAATCGCCGATTTAGAATCTCGAGCCATACCCTCTGAAACTGAGTACGAACTAGCAGATTCAGCCTTTAAACGTATTATAGAAAAATTTGGACTACCCGAGATAGATTTGTTTGCATCTTATCAAAATAAAAAATGTGATACATTCATATTCTGGTTCCCAGACCCAGAATGTTTTACAACAGATTCATTTACAATTTCTTGGTCCAACTTATATTTTTATGCATTTCCCCCTTTTTGCTTAATTACTAAAACCCTACAAAAAATCATTAAAGATAAAGCAGAAGGCATCCTGGTGATACCGCATTGGCCAAACCAACCGTGATTTCCAGCAATTCAAAAATATATAATTGACAGCTTAATTTTTAAACCGAAAAAGACTTACTTCTTTCTCCTTCCAGGGAATACCATCCACTGCACCAAAGACTTACCCTGGTGGCTGTCAAGTTATCAGGGATGCTTTTAAACTAAATTATAATATCAACTCTGTCAAAGGAATTGAGGTCAATATCAGCAGGTACGATAAGGCAATATGACAGTTGCCTTCAAAAATGGTGGATATATTGTGCAAACAAAAAATTACAAATAACTAAACCAAACCTGAATGAGGTTTTAAAATTCCTTTTACAGTCAAAGCAAGTTATTCAAGAATTAATACTTATCGCTCAGCATTAAACTTAATCATCAACTTCACAGAAAAGGACCAAAAGATTCTTAACAGATTTTTAAAAGGCATGTTTAACTCAAACCGCCAAAACTAAGGCACTCCGAAACTTGGGATCCCTCCGTAGTTTTAGAATATCCTGAGAAACAACATCCATTAGAGACCCTAACTCTTGAAACTCTCACACTAAAACTAGTTGCCCTTCTAGCATTGACAAGTGCACATAGAGTCCAGACACTCAAAAATAACAATCAATAATATAGTAATAAATAAAAATGAAATTCACATTAAAATAGACCAAAAAATTAAAACATCCGGATTAAATCGCAACCAGCCAACACTATATTTTCGATTTTTTAAAGAAAAACCCTCACTATGTGTTGCATCAACCATAGTTCATTATATGAACAAAACTCGTAATTTGAGAACTTATAGTGAAAGCTCGCTTTTATTGACTTTTCGTAAGCCTTAACATCCGGCCATATCACAAACAATCAGTCGGTGGATCAAAAAAGTCCTAAAAAACAGCGGTATCGATACCAATAAATTTAAGGGTCATAGCACAAGACATGCATGAACATCTGCAGCAGCAAGATCCGGACTAAGCATTGACTCCACGGCGGGCTGGATCTCCAAATCCCAAACATTTAACCAATTTTATAATCGACCGCTAACTACTGATAAAACAGAATTTGCTAATAGCATAGGAAATAAGTAAATCGTTTTAAAAATGTAAAGAAAAGACTTCGGATCCAGTAAATTATATAATAAATGTATAATTCACTTGATCAAATTGCAAATATTATTTATAACTTTAGTTTTAAGGTACATTCATAACTTTAGTTTTAAGGTACAATATTACACAATTGTATCAGAGCTATATGTTAATTGTGGGTTTAAAATTAAATCGTTCAAAAACAAATGTGTTTTTAAATTAAACAGACCCATAGATCGCTCTACTTTAAATATCTACCTTGTAATTATGTAACTATTTGTGACGGAAATATAAAAAGAAATTAAAAAATTAAACGACTTACCTGTAGGGAAGTTTAATTTTGATTTCTTGAATAGTTCCGTTACAATGAATACATTGAAGTATTGTTTTACTACCTATATTAATAATTAATATTTTTGTCAAGTTGAAATATAAAAATTAATTAAAAGTCTTTAAAAGTCTACACAAGTTTTTCTCTTTTTAAGAAAGTAAATTGAAACACTAAGAGTATTATACGGTTAGATCATTTACTTTAACAAATTTGAATAACTTTACTCTATTTTTTGTTGGTTTTGTTTATATGAACCAAATAAAACACCAAAATACGATATGCCTTTAGCTTCACATAAAACAGAACGTTTTTGTTCAGGATTGCTCTCGATAGCAACCAACGCATCGTGCATTTCTGGAAATGACTTTCAAACTTTTACAAGCATCTGCTCGAGCTGACCGGCGTGTGTTAGATGGACTTTTTAGTAGAAGTAGTAGTTTTGTTTTTTATTATTACCTAGGACTTGTGCTTGTTTCCCATCTTTGAGTTAAAGCTGTAAAACATGTTTAAATTGAAGGAAACCAAAGAACCAACAAGCTTCTTGAGCGAATTTAGCGGCACATTCACCCACTTAATTAAGAGAATGTGCGGAGCAGGGTATATATTCTGCTAGGGGACATAGTTTTTTATTTTGTCCAGTAATACATTGTAAATGCCTGACATATTTGCGGCATTATCATACCACTGGCCTCTACAGTCTTATATATTAATTTTAAACATGTCTAATGTTTTAATAATAGCATCTGCTATTTTTTTTTATTTGTGACCAAAATTTTCAAAAACTTGGTATATCCCTTTCCCTTGCCGCCTTATTGAGCAATATGTTTACTAAAAAACGAATCAAACTCCGCTATGAGTTGAGCGTAATTAAATAATTTACGTTATAAAGAGAGACAAGTTTTTCATGCCCCCTAAAAGGTTAACCACGCGATGCTAAAGACATCACAGTGGCAACCACTCGTTTCAAAACATCTCTTCTAAAAATTAAGCGGCAAGCTTATGATTGACACGACCGACAATGTTAGATCTATATTTCATGGTCAAAAAATATGTTTTTTGTGGCTTTCTAATCTAATCGATGCGTTATTCCAATCATTAAAACCAACATCTTGTTTTCCAATAACAGTTTCATCACCGAATAATAAAGAAGGTCCACAATAAACTTTTCCTGCGCTTGGAGAGTAAATATTCCATTTCCTTGGACGTTTTTCACTATTTAATAAATTTTATTCAAACATTGTTTTTGTTAAAAAACGTGAGATTTTATCTTCATATATTCTCTTACTCAATAAAAAATCTGTTTCATTATTTATATCCCACTTGACTGGGTCACAACCCTCGTTAACCAGTCTATGTTGTGACTGCCTCACAACTGCTGACAGACAAATATTAGAGGTGGTTTCGTAATTTTGACTTTGTTCCAAGTGATTAAGTGAATATAGTCATCTGCGTCAAAATTAATAGCAGGAACTCTAAATACGCGAAGTATCCTCTCAGGTGTGGATCTTGCTTTCAGTATTCGTGTGGTTCCTAGCACTCTAATACAATCCCGTGGATCTAATATCATGGCTATTAAAATATTTTCGGGATGGGAGAAGTACCCGTTTGTATAAATAACCTTATCAATAACTTTTCTTACTTTCCCGGAAATTCTCTTGATGGTTGTATTGTTTTAAATAAATGAATAGAACCATACTGGCAAGATGGTTGTGTTTTGATATAAAAACAAATAGGCGCATATACTTTCATTAGGAACTTTGTTATCAATAAAAGGTTAGGTGAAGGATTTTGTGTAAACGTAATACCCTGTTGGCTGTTGTCAGCCAATGGGCATGGTTTATTTTTTCAGGATCCTTTTTGGATAACTTTTCAGGACAGAATCCGTCTCTAATAGCGCAGCATATTTCGTATAAATTTTTCTGGTCCGTACTAAGATCTTTTTCATTATTTAATAATGGTAAATCTGTGCCA